CCTCCCCTTCCCTCCTCCCCTTCCCTCCCCATCCCTTCCCTTCCCTTCCCTTCCCTTCTTTCTTTGACCGAGTTTCGCTCTGTCACCCAGGCTGGAGTGCAGTACTGAGATCTCGGCTCACTGCAACCTCCGTCTCCTGGGTTCTAGCAATTCTCCTGCCTCAGCCTTCCAAGTAGCTGGGACTACAGGCGCACGCCGCCACACCTGGCTAATTAAAAAAAATTTTTTTTAGTAGAGACGGGGTTTCACTTGTGTTGCCCAGGCTGGTCTCGAACTTCTGAGCTCGGGCAATCCACCCACCTCGGCCCCTCGAAGTGCTCATGAGCCACCGCACCTGGCCTATGTGCCTATTTTCTAGGCATGTGAGCATACAGTGAACAGACAAAAATCCCTGCCCTCATGGAGGTAACATTCTAGGGAAAGGAGATAGCCAATAAACAAATAATAAAGATCTACAATCTATCAGATGGTATAAGAGCTAGGGAGAAAATTGAGGCAGGGATGGAAGATACGGAGCACTGGGGTGGCAGTGAGGTTGCAATTTTAAAGAGGGTAATCAGGGAAGGCTTCACTTAGATAATATTTGAGCAAAGATCTGAAAGAGGTGAGGTGTGAGCTATGCAGATCTCTGGGAGGATGCTGCAGGCAGCCTAGCAAGTGCCACGACTCTAAAAGGAGAATGCCTGACATGTTTAAGGTCAGTGTGGCTGGAGTGTAGTGATTAAGAGGAGGTGGGCACAGAGATCATAGAGGGGGAGTGGTGTCCAGACCATCTAGGGACTTATAAGCCATTGTAAGGGCTCTGGCTTTTACCCTAGGTGAGAAGGGAAGTACTTATTCCTATCTAGAGTTATATGTTTATGGCCTCCTGCCCCCACCCCTCCACCACATGTTAGAATGTAAAACTCGTGGAGGGCAAGAACTTTATCTGTCTTATTCACCGCTGTATCCCTAGCACTTAGAACAGTGTTCAGCACAAAGAAAGTGCTGAGGGAATATTTGCTGAATGAATTGTGCAGGCGCAATATTACCAAAGGATATAGGAACTAGGCATGACCTAGTTTAAGCAATAAAGTTGGAGACATTGGATTCAGGTTGACTTATACTCTGACTCACTGTATGACCTTGGACAAGTCACCTCCTCACCCTGAACTTCAGTTTCTTCATCTCCAAAATAAAGGGGTTTTATTAGATGATATTTTTTATTTCAATAGGTTTTTGGGAAATAGGTGGTGTTTGGTTACATGAGTAAGTTCTTGAGTGGTGATTTCCGATATTTTGTTACAGCCATCACCCGAGCAGTATACACTGTACCCAATGTGTGCTCTTTTATCCCTCACCCCTTTCTTTCTGACTGTCATAGCCTGCAATTCCACAATGCAGGAAATACATCAGTGATATATGACCTTCTGACTATGATGTGTTCAGGAATTCTGGTATACTTACCACTATTCTATGGTTCATCTTTTAATGAATGTTGTTTACACTTCTGGGTGGAGAGGATAGTTTTCTTAGCTCCTTGAGTGGGCTGTAGGCTTGAAATAGTCCAGGTCACCTCTAGCCCTGTGGTTTGTGTTTCAAGTCTGCCTTTCCCGTCAACATGACATTCCTACTTCTAGTCCAGTGTTACAGCAACATTGATCCTGAGGTTTCAACAGGTAGAGGACCAAAACCTCAAGTCGTAAATATTTTAATGAGCCAGTTCTAACAGAGACAAAAAATAAAGTAGGATCTATTCTAGCTGGATTTTAAAGTAAGCAAATAAATTTAGGTTTAATCTTTAGCTTTAAAAGCTTTTTTACATATTTTAGTAGGGCAAAGCTAGTTATATAAGGCAAATATACACTCTTAAAAAGATGATTAAATCCTAGTAGCATTGGCTCTGGTCCCCATATAAACGACCAATGTGATAAACCCTTATTTTCTAGATAGTTCTCAGAGAAGCACAGTAATTGTAAACTCATATCACATCAGGTACTGTACACTCAAATCATTAATAAAATCTCAGCAGTGACTCAGACAAAGCAAACTAATTGGTTCCTGTTAGTTAGTTAACTGATGCAGTACTCCCCCAAAGTAGGTCAATCTACTGGAAAACCCAGTATTAACTTCAGGTATGACAACAGGAAGATTCATCAATGTAATGAACAAAGTCTCCCTTTAAACACTATCTAATTTAAATGAAGAAAAATAAGTCAATCCAGTCTTCTGTTACTTTGGCACTTGGATCTGGGGAATGAGCATCACCACCACTAAATATGAAAGGTAAAAGATATTTCATTTTTCAATGCATTTTACACATGAAGGGATACTGCTTAAGCCAAAGAAAAATCTGCCAAAGTCATTATGCATATAGAAGCAAACCTGGAATGATGTGTCTGAGTTCTCAAATCAAGTGAAAATCATTGCTACATTGACTTTTGTTTAGTCTTATTTTTTATTTTTAAAAATTTTTTAAAATTTGAACTTTTATTTTAGGTTCAGGGGGCACATATGCTGGTTTGCTATATTGGTATATTGTATGATGCTGAGGTTGGGTATAATTGATCCTGTTAGAGAAATGCAAATCAAAATCACAATGAGATACCATCTCACATCAGTCAGAATGGCTATTTTGTTAATTTTAATTTTCGTGAGTTAATAGCAGGTGTATGTATTTATGGGGTACATGAGATATTGATATCTTTGATACAGTTATACAATGTGTAATAATCACATCAGGGTAAATGGGGTATCCATTGCCCTCAAGCATTTATCCTTTCTTTGTGTTACAAATTATCCATGTATACTCTTTTAGTTATTTAATTAATTAATTAGTTTTTGAGACAGAGTCCAGCTCTGTCACCTAGGCTGGAGTGCAACGGCGCGATCTCGGCTCACTGCAACCTCTGCCTCCAGGGTTCAAATGATTCCTCTGCCTCAACCTCCCGAGTAGCTGGGATTACAGGCGCATGCTACCACGCCTGGCTAATTTTTATGTTTTTAGTAGAGACAGGGTTTCATTATGTTGGCCAGGCTGGTCTCGAATTCCTGACCTCAAGTGATCCACTCACCTAGGCCTCCCAAAGTGCTGGGATTACAGGCATGAGCCACCATGCCCGGTCATCTTTTAGTTATTTTAAAATGTACACTAAATTATTGTTGACTGTAGTCACTCTGTTATACTATTGAATCCTAGATCTTACTCATTCTATCTAGCTTTATTTTTGTATTCATTAGCCATACCCCTTCCTCACCCTTCCACACTAACATTTGTGGTTTCTGGTAACCATTGTTCTACTCTATATCTCCATAAGTTAAATTCCATTAATTTTTAGCGTCCACAAATAAGTGAAAACATGTGAAATTTGTTTTTCTGTGGCTGGTTTACTTCACTTAACATAATGAAATCCAGTTCAATACATGTTGTTGCAAATGACAGGCTCTCATTCCTTTTTATGGCTGAATAGTGGACAATTGTGTATATGAACCACATTGCCTTTCTCTTTTTGTCTTAAGTGAAAAATTTTAAATTTAACTTTCTTGGCTGGGTGTGGTGGCTCGTGTCTGTAATCCCAGCACTTTGGGAGGCCGAGGTAGGCAGATCACTTGAGGTCAGGAGTTCAAGACCAGCCTGGCCAACGTGATGAAACCCGGTCTCTACTAAAAATACAAAAATTAGTCAAGTGTGGTGGCACGTGCCTGTAGTCCCGGCTGCTTGGGAGGCTGAGGCAGGAGAATCACTTGAACCCAGGAGGCAGAGGTTGCAGTGAGCCGAGATCACGCCACTGTGCTACAGCCTGGGTGACAGAGCAAGACTCTGTCTCAAAAAAAAAAAAAAAAAAAATTAATTTTCTTTTCTTTTTTTTACATTCTAACTTTTACTTTAGATTCAGGTGGGTACATGTGCAGGTTTGTTACATCGGTAAATTGTGTGTGTCATGGGTTTGGTGTACAGATTCTTTCATGACTCAGGTAATAAGCACAGTACCCAGTGGTTAGTTTTTTGATCCTCATCCTCCTCTCACCCTCCACCCTCGAGTAGGCCCTGGTGTCTATTGTTCTCTTCTTTGTGTCTGTGTGTACTCAGTGTTTTGCTCCCACTTATAAGTGAGAACATGCGGTATTCGGTTTTCTTTTCTCACATTAATTCGCTAGGATAATAGCCTCCAACTACATCTTTGTTGCTGCAAAGGACACAATTTTATTCTTCCTTATGGCTGCATAGTATTTCACAGTGTATACGTACCACACTTTTTTTTTTTCATCCAGTCTACCATTGATGGGCATTTAGGCTGATTCCATGTCTTTGTTATTTTGAATAGTGCTGCGATGGACATATGTGTGCATGTGTCTTTATGGTAGAACAATTTATATTCCTTTGGGTATATACCCAATCATGTGATTGCTGGGTCAAATGGTAGTTCTGTTTTAAGTTCTTTCAGAAATTGTCAAACTGCTTTTCACACTGGCTGAACTAATCTACATTCCCACCGGCAGTGTAGAAGTGTTCCTTTTTCTCTACAACCTTGCCAGCATCTGTTATTTTTTGACTTTTCAATAATAGCCATTCTGACTGGTGTGGGATGGTATCTCATTGTGGTTTTCACTTACATTTCT